TTGTAAGTCACTGCCGTTAAAGCACACAAATGATTTATGTTCATTGTGAACGCTCTGACAATAATTCTACAGGTAATGCAAGTGATATAGGCGTAGTTGGTGCTTTTGATGCAGTTTTCGATCGTCAGTCACCAAACACCTGAATCTGCCTAAATATCTTAGCTTTATGTGCAACGAATAGCTGTCAGTTATCCGTGTTTTGTTTTGGCATTTCGATGTTTTCTCGTCAATGATTTATTTTTCCATCCTTGATTAGTATCATTTAGCTTAAAATTTGAACAGGCGACTATTTCTGCTGCAAAAACGACGACTGAACTCTGTAGAGCTGCTTTTACTTTCATGCAGGACCACGTATGACTGTTCTGTTCTGAGCACAGGTGACGTAGATGGATGGGGAGATTAAGAAAAGCGGAATGACCCTGTTAGATAATTTGATTGAGCATACACCATTTACTTCAACCCGTGAGGTTCTCACATTATAGCCGAAATACAGTACACGTGGATCAGGAGTCGAGCATCAACATGGGGGAACAAAATAGAGGCATCTTTTTTGGAGTGGAATGTTTCTTTTTACAGTACAGTAATCGGTGCTTCATAGCAAAGGTGTTGATTCAATTAACATTGCAAATTAGAGACGTTCTGCTTATGTAAGCGGTTCAAAGTTATGATGTCTACAAGCACAAATGACAAATGGACTAGAAATTAGCGATCTGTCCAAAGAGTATTTCAGCAGACTGCGCTTTTTCTACATAAAATCCGTAGCAACTGGTCCTGATTACCAAATATAGAAGGTTTCAAGCTGTAGACGGTTTGCCGAAATCAACATAGGCGGAACGCGGCATTTACTTCGTACAAGAACTTGCAGAGTTACAGGAAGAACAGCCCTCCTCGAACTCAGGAACCGACTATTTGCAAAGATACCGGTTTAAATATCTTGAAGCGGTATGCGGTTCATAACAGCATCTGTCGAATTCCTTGTGGAACAGTGTCAACAAGAGGTAAGCTTCGAAATCTGGAGGTATGGAGTTCCATTCCGGGGAGGAACAGTCTTTCTCTTAGTTACGAATTTGTTTGAGCAAATAGTTTACCACACTTTGCTTCAGACTTGATTTACTCTGTGGTAGAACTCTGGACATAGAACCGAAGGTTTCGATTGATTTCGAATCATTTGTGAGTGTTACATGATGTGCGATTCTTCCGTTTTATTGTTTTGGTTACGGTCATGTGACGCATTGCGTTGATGAAGTAATTGGCCATTCATCGGTTGCCGTTCCCCTGTCCCATTTTTGAAGCTGTCTCATAGACACGGCGCACTGACTCGCTCGCAGCAAACTTTTACGAATTTTTCACCCGTCTAATCCGGAAGATGGTTGGTCGATGTGGTAGCATTCATTTCCTCGAACAACTTCGTCTTTGCCTCGGTGATGCTGCATGTCACTTTGAGACTCGCAGTCAGTCCACTTGATACGTTTCGCCGAAGTCATTTGTTCGAAGTTGTCGCCAAGGCCATTCAGGTTAAGTTTTTCTTTTCATAGGTTTTCTGTATCACACCGGTTGCAATGGCCAGTAATTAATTAATTTCAACGTTACAAGATCACTAATCAAATTCAATCTTAATTGATCGCTAATGTTTTTCTCGCACCTTTGTTTCACACGGTTCAACGAATAGAGCTTAGGTCAGCCTTTCCATCTTCTGGCCATCGTAGATGAATTGTGATTCATGTTTGGTGTTTGTTGTTCATGTCCTACCTTCATTTGAACTTCATCGTATCAACTTAGCTCGGTTGCTGAATTTTTTTCCTATGCTGAACATCCTATTTAAAACAGGTATACTAATGTTCATGTTCGAACTCTTTGTCTTCATTCTTATGTCGCTTGTCGTCGTCTCGTATCAACTTTGGTTTGTGGTCTTGTTACCAGTCGAATTACCTCTGCTGTTCCTCGTCTTGTTCTTACTTAATGAAGCCCGGTTGTTTTTCCACAACCGTTCTCTCCTCGCAGCTCTTTTCTGTGCAAGAACCCTATATCTTCGTTTCTGATCATGCACCATAGGCTTGCTTCCGATAGATTTGATTTGTTGTACATTACTCGAACTTTTCGAAATAGAAGTGGACTCATTTTTTGACTGTTTGATCCCCCTATCTCATGAGTTGCCAGAACTTTTTCGCCATGACCGTAAATACAATCTTTGCCCAACCGGATGACCGAAGGACCGGACAGATAGGTGTAGTTTTTAATTGCCGATAATTTTGATGTATTATCACTTTTTGTGTTGGAAGTGCAATGGAAGGAGTTGAAGCACAATTCATGCGAATTCTACAAGAAGTACATTCTAGGAGCGGCATCGTGCAGATTCACGTGTTTGCAAATCCAGTTGAAGTCAGGGTTTCTAGCGTAACGCGTCAAGGAAAAATCATATCTTCAGCAGTAGTGTTTACCGCATACCATGAGTCATTATTCCACTAAACGAAATGGGATAGAAAATTTTAAATTAGCGGCAGACGATTTCCTCATGTTCGATTTGCTTACGACAGCTGCTGTTGGAGACGAGGACAACATAAAAGTCGAAGTCGTGCCATCAGTTATGGTTAAAGAGTGACTAAGCTGGGTTTCGGATAAACATGGCAACGACGAAAATGGGGAGAAACAGATTCGTACAGTAATCTGCAGTTACCATAAATGATGCCAAAATCAAACGAGTTGCCTAGTATATCTGCGTGGAACAGTTGATCGTATGAAGCCACTCATTTGGTCAAGAGTTCACTAGTATTCATCATTCATTCATGCTATGTGGAGTACACACGGATGAAACGCTGATATTCTTTAAGACAGAAAGTTATAAAAGTTGAAAGTTAAAAAGTGACGCTCACAAATGCATGGTATGAAAGCGAAGTATTCCCAACTGCTTTATAGAGTAGCGAAACGAAAGTGCATGAAGAAATGTTGAGAGTGCTGTTGCACATTATGGAAAGTGCGATGCTGAGAATTTCCGTTAGGGACACGCTTGGCAATACGGCATG